CTGTACGAATACTTTCTGTGCGACGATTTCTTACATTCAATTGTTCTTATTGTATATTTTTGTTAATCCTGAAGAAAATAAAATTTAGTTTTCACGACATCTTTTCTACAAACACCCAAGAATATTTATTCATCATTTTTTCCCCTTAAAATTTGTAATTGACGTTTACGCACAACATTTTATTTAAAATTGGTCGCTGTACGAATACTTTCCACACCGACTGTATGTTCTGTCTTCTTTCCGCTATACTGTTCAGTCAAGAAGACTGAGAGAAGCAAACCTTAGTCTGCAATCCGATAAGTGCAAGTTCTTGAAGAAAGGAGTGACTTATTTGGGACACATAATAGACGAAAGTGGTGTCAAACCAAACCCTAGAAAAATCGAAGCGATAGAAACATTCTCTGTGCCACAAACTGTACATATAAGACAGTTTTTAGGATTATGTGGTTAATACAGGAGATTTATAAAAGATTTCTTTAAGATAGCAAAACCAGTTTCAGATCTAATAAAAAAAGAGCGGAAATTCGAATGAACTCATCTCCAGCAAGAAGCATTTACAATCCTTAGGGATCATTTATGTGAAGAGGGTTGTTTGATGCATCCGGACTATTCAAAGATCTTCAATATCACTACAGATGCATCAGGAATTGTGATTGGAGCCATACTCAGTCAGTCAGAGTGAAGTCAGAAATCAGCCTTCCATCCTAAAACAAATGGATCCCTACAAAGGAGTCATCAAACTTTAATAGAGTAGTTAAAACAATTTATATCTGAAAAAAAACAGTGGGATTAATGGTTACCACAAATGACGTTTTCCTACACCACTAGTATCCAGGAAGGAACAAAATTTGCATCTCATGAATTAATATCTACCAAAAAGATACGGCAGTTCTCAAATACTGAAGAATATATCAGCACATACCCGGATTATGTTGACAAACTAATTTCCGCAAACACAATCTTTGAAAACCCACAAGAAATAATTTACAACAGGCAAAATATCGACAAAAATATTTTGACAATAAAAAAATTCGGCTGATAGTCTATAAAACCGACGAAGACGTATTTCTATTGAATCCACCACGGAAGAATAAGTTACAGAAGGAATACTCGGAACCCTATAAGATTATTAGAAACATTAAACAAAACAATGTAGAATTAGATGTTGGTGGGAAAAATAAAAAGAGGATCCTGCATAAGGATCGTGTAAAGAGAGCCTTTATGCCAGTAAAAGATCGAGAATCAATAAGGTGAAGGTAGTCTTATGAAGGGGTGGAAGAAAAACGTATTAGCGCATGCGTACAACAAAAATTATTATAACAGTAAAATGACAAGTGTTGAACGGGTGCATTAGAAGCCAACAGAAAGTAAATTTAAAAAAAAGGAAAAAGGGGAAATAAACATGGGACAAGACCGTCAAGCCCTGAACATCGTAGCAGCGATGTGTGTGAAGAACAAGAAGAACGTGTTCTCATTCAAATACAATTCGAACATGAAAATTTGTGCGCTAATTGCGGTATACAAGCGGTTCCCGAAGCAAAGGAACAATGGTGGCACATAGGCAAGGAATCAGATATCCGTATTATAAATTATTTTACAAGTACATAATAATAATAATATTAAACCCGTCAATAGGGACCGACCTTTACGTCTAACAGGACCACGTCCAGGAAAAAATAAGGTACTGTCCAGAGTACGAGAGAAAAGTAGCGGGACGGGAACGGGGCAAAGAGGGTAGGCCGCTAGGACCACCTAATCCCCATTTTTCGACTCACGCGTAGCTCCCACCGTTCATCCGTAATGGTGTGGTTTTACATAGGTATAGAAACAGATATTGCTACTATATGTTAAAAAACTCTATCTTTTTCCTCTTACGCGATGCGTAAAACTTTTGGACACTTCGACAATGGAATGCCGCTCAACGTATCGCTCGTTCTGTCTCGCTTGTTCTACATATATCTGACCCACTCTCCGCGTCATGCGACCGATTAGTGTATATGTGCGCCTCGACAAATAGCGCGTTATTGCCGAAAATGCGTGTGACAAAAGGCGGCAACGTTACAATCTATCCACTGCGATGCTCTTTTCGTCCCTCTAGCCCCATTCCCGTCCCGCTAGTTTTCTCTCGTACTCTGGACAGTACATAAGGTGCAAACGTAGGGTAAGTAACATAAGACCAGCAGTTTCTTGCACCGAGTGCCGAAATAAAATCCACGATCACGACGAAGAAGAGACTGATCCTTTGAGACAGGAGTGCTACTCGCCTTAACGGGATCGTTTTCTATAATAAATCTCGAAAACGTGCAATACCTGAATGGTATATTATACATGTGTTTCACTCGAGTGAATGTAATAAAATAATAATAATAATAATAAATGATAATAATAAAATATATATATGAGGGAACACGTGTATGTGTAACGTACGAGTGAGAGAGTGCAAGAGAGTACGAACGAGTGTGGATGAGTGCATGTGTGTGCGAAAGAATGCAGGGTAAAAACAGAAGAAAATCAAATGTAGAAGAGTGGTCAAAAAGCGATCGGCACCGAGATCGCTGTAATTCAGACCTGTTTCGACGCGTTCCTGCAATCATCCTGTAATTTTCCTGATAATTCCAAATTTTCCTATTATATTATATTATATTGAATATCTTTCTTATGGATAATTTAAATGCCCCGCGCAACGGACCACCATGTTGGTCCCCTTCATTTGTCTTTCCGTTGCGCGAGATTGCTTGCCCCCGGGCGAAGAGAAGCGAGCGTCGGTTTGGAGGAGAAGTACATACGTGAGAAGAGTCACAGACCACATAGAGCAGGGAGTTCTGTAAATCGATGTAGCGACCCGTTTTTAAATATAAGTCTTTTGCAAAGTGTTTTCCTTTCTTTCTATCAACCAGTCTTATTAAATACAATCTTTAAAGCCAAAATGCTACAAGCTTTTTATTTCGACAACTTCCTCCGATCCAATCCTACATACATATATATTTATAAAGAAAAAGAATGTAATAATATATTTTTTTAATTTTAATAAGTAAACTTAAGTCCGAGGTAAAAATATACACACACATATATATAGATAGAGAAAGAAAGAAGAAATCATATGAAAAATCACTAATATGATGTAGAAGAAACACAATAATAATAATCTGAGCAATATTCCTTATCCTAAGAAATGTTCTAAAAGAGAATGGAAGCTTAAGAAAATTGGTACCCCCCCCCTCCTGGAATTATATCGCAACATTAAGACCCCCCTCCCACCCGTGACCCAAGGCGTAAGATGGAAGATGTGTTATTTGAAGAAGGCACAGTATCTTCAAGGAATAACGAAAAAACCTGCCGTTGCTGCAAATGCATTATTCAGTGTTTTCCAAAAAGTGGAAACACGTCTCTTGAGGAGAAGAGACTTCACAAGGAGGAAGTTATGACATCCCAGAAGATTCAACTCTGACGAATCTCGATGTATATTTAGTTTCTTTATTGTAAATTCATCATTTTGATTATTTTTCATTACTTTCATTATCGACTGTTTCTTTTTATACCGACCGCGCCATGTGTCGAAAGAATTACCATATGAATTATTTAATCAGTCAATAAAACATAAACTATTTAGGTTATTAATAAAATATATTGAATTGATTAATAAAGGATCAAAATAAATGATTAGTAATCGAATTAATGCATTCGTTCATCAGTCTAAATTCGTACGCAATATTTTAAACAAAGATCACGCCCTTCGCTAGCCTATGTTCTTGTAGGATACGCGTACAGCAAGTAGAAAAGGACAGAGAATGTATTTCGAATTAAATTATTACTGAACTATCATTTTTATGTTAAAATTATTCAATATTAATCAGAAAATATTACTAACGAATTAATAAAAATACTTACTTTATTAATTAATGTCTACATAAATAATTAAAAATAATATGTAAAAATTGTACGTATTTATCATACAGGTAGCTTGCGAGGACTTGAAAAGTAAAAGGCAAATTCCGAATTTTCGGGGTATAAAAGAGCGTGCAGGAGACCCGTAGGGGGCAAAACTTCTGGCCTCCAAGTTACAGCAAGTGGAACTTATGTGCATCAGAGACAACAGTAAGGCACTTTCACAAAAAAAATGAAGAATTCAATATTTTGTGGCATAATCAATTTACGAAGAATTCGATAACGAATTCAGAAATATTTGATTTCGCGTCGAGAAATATTTAGACATAGGTAACATACGTGCAAGAGAGAAGCACTCCAAACAGGAAAAAGTTGTGAAGAAAGAAACAAAACTACATACACGATTAAAATAATTAATTATGCATTCCATCGTCTTTATTTCGTACTATAATTTATCAGCACCAGTTCCCCCACCGGAGTCTTCGAAAGGACCCGGAGGACCTCCGCCGGAATGACGGAGAAGTCACTTTTCAATACAAAATCGCAAGGTGCAAGTCGTTGAGTTTATCTATTCACATCTCTTTGCAAAATTCGGATAGTTCCTTTCTGTAGCAAACTGAAGTGATAAATACGAGTATGTAGCTTGGTGTTTACGTGCGACTTCCCTTTTTCTTTCAACAAAATACATTCATCGATATAAACAACGAAAAATACGTACGTGAATATACCATAACGGTTTGTAAAAGAGGAATTTATCGGTGAGTGTTTTAACCTATTACTGAAAAAGTATTACAGTTTGCGTAAGTGAAATTTCAAATTATTAGATATGTATAATATAATTGTGTACTGAAAATATACAGAATAGCTGTTAAAATCTTTTAAAAGTAATTTCTAAAGTATGGATCTTGATAAGAATTGACATATTATTGTATTAATAGCTGTTTTTCATTATAACAATTAAAGAAACGACGGAACTTTTCCTAGATTTTATGCCAGTGAGGCAAATAGAGCAATTCTTGCTATATTCGTATATTCGACGCTTTCCAAGCGTTAAATTTACCTTCCAACACGATAATGTTGAAGTAGGTTGAGGATCAGAATTTAAAGGTTATGGACTGACCATCTCGTTTACCGGATTTAAATTCAATAGAGAATTTATGAGGAATTCTTGCTCGAAATAACTACAGTAATTGCCGTCAGTACAATATAGTTGCACACATGAAATATGGCATTATAATAGCATGGGCGAGAATCAAGCCTGAAACTATACAAAATTTAATTGCAAATATGCCAAACAAGATTTTCTCAACTATACAATGTTCCAATGGATGTACAAAATATTAGTTATGCATATTTGCTCCTTTTTTGTTATAATAATACATTTTTATTAAGAGCGGCTAAATTTTGGATATGCCCGTATTTGCCTTTAGGACAAAAACATATCCCACTGCTGCTGCATATGAATGTTTTTGATGGTAATCATTATTTCTCAAGGTATTCTACATATACGATATAGAAAATCAATCAAAGATTTATCAGAGAGTACATTTTTGAAAAAAATTGCAGTACGTCCAAATTATTAATATGCAATATACTGACAAGGGACATTACCCAATCGACACACACCGACTTTGATGCACTTTGATATGATATAGAACGCAAAAAAATATTTCATACATATTTTTTTTTATCGGCCATCGTTCACGTTGAAAGGGTGAAAATAGCCCTCAAAGGGGCTGAAATCATACTTTTGGGAATACCTTCGGAATTAGTGGAGATAATTGAAAGCTTTTTTTTAAATTGCTGGACTTTAAATAGGAAATTTTTTTGTATAAAAAAGTGTTAATACATGTAAAACGAGGTAGAAAATGAGCAACAAAGGCTAAGTCCGATTACGAAAAATAATATATTCTGTAAATTGATATCGGCGGAGAAGCGACGGCTCCAAACGTTCTCTCCAGAATGACCTCTTCCCGTTCCGCGAGGTGTCCCAGTCCCCGCGAAACTTGGGCCTCGGGGTTGTTTTATGGCCCGGACATCACAGCGTCGGGCCTCCTTGCCGGGGCGGTCAGCGTTAAAACAGCTATGTGCCCCTTGTCCTTGATTTATTGAGGGTGTTATTGGAAATTTTCCAACGTACACTTTATTTGTTTGAATAATATTTTGAAAATTAATCAATTTTGTTTGAATTTTTGTCCTAAATGTTGATCTATTTTTTTGCAATTTTGTGTACGTAAACTATGGACTGAAGTAGAGGATACCTGTTTTTAGAATTTGCTGTTTGGAGCAATGTTTATTAATTCTATAAATTAAAATCACTCCCAGTGAAGAAGGGCAATCAGCATATTTATTAAAAATATCATTATTTTTACAATCTTTTACAATATTCTTGACATTTTAAAGCTCCTCATATGCCGTTAATTGATTTCTCAATATTTATTGTAAGTGTCGTAGGTATGAGCGTGACGGCTATTCTAATCATCGCCACGCCGCGCCGCAAGAAACAAAGCGCATCAAAATCGGCGTGTGTCGCTTAGGTAATGTCCCTTGTGAGTCCCCCTGAAACTAGTGTAAAAGCCGAAAAAAGGTAGTAAGCGAGACGGTTCTGAATAATTTTTTCCTTCGCCAAAATATTGGTTAACTGACTAATGAGAACGTGTATAAGCTAGATTGTAGTTGTAAACAAGTTGTGACGGCTGATTGTAGTTGTAAACAAGGCTATCGATACTGCATCGATATAACAGGACGCTATTAGCTGAAAGTTAAATCGAATAATGAATTGAAAAGTTAAGAATAATATATAGTTCTTCATTATTCTCAAATAGAAGAAAAACCAATTAGTTGTTGTTTACCCAGACCAAGTATATTGTATTTATTTAATGCCTTCGAAAAGGAATAAAGAATAAATTCATGAAAATTAATTTTGTCAACTATTCTAACGAAGCAAATGAATAATTCACGTTGTAGCGTACAGGAATAATTGTAAAGTGCGACAAATAAATTAATTGTATTCAAAGAGAAATCAGACAAGAAAATCCTTAGAATTCCCTTGCGAAATATAATAGAATAGATGGAAATAATATTTAGCGTCGAGAACATTCGAGAAAAGCGAATACTTCAGACTAATCGAAATTCTGTCGCGATGCGAGAGTTCGTGGGCCGCTCAGCGGAGCAAGAGGCAAGGCGCGACCCGCGAGCCGCGAGCAGCGATCGCGGAACTTGGCGACGCGTTGTTGATAGCTCGGCCGCAGGATAGCAACCGGCCTATATAAAATAGAGTCGCGCGCCCGGAACGGGCCTATTTGGCAGTCTGGGAGAGAGGACGAGGTAAGTACCATCGGCCGCTCTCGGACTAGCCTAGGGACTCCGGCAGGAGAGACCGGCGAAAATACCTGGTCGCCTGCTGGAGAAGGAACTTAGCTGTTAGGGAACTCCGGCAGGAGAGTTCGGCGACCAATACCTGGACGCCTGCTCGGAGAATAGCTGTTAGGGAACTCCGGCAGGAGAGTTCGGCGACCAATACCTGGACGCCTGCTCGGAGAATAGCTGTTAGGGAACTCCGGCAGGAGAGTTCGGCGACCAATACCTGGACGCCTGCTCGGAGAATAGCTGTTAGGGAACTCCGGCAGGAGAGTTCGGCGACCAATACCTGGACGCCTGCTCGGAGAATAGCTGTTAGGGAACTCCGGCAGGAGAGTTCGGCGACCAATACCTGGACGCCTGCTCGGAGAGTTCGGCGATAATACCTGGACGCCCGACCGGAGGTAAAGGTTTAAGACCCCGGCAGGAGAGTACGGCGAACCCCTCCTGGACGCCTGCCGTGGGGTAAAGTTTAAGAGACTCCGGTGGGAGAGTTCGGCGATAATTCCTGGACGCCCACCTGGAGATAACTGTTGATACCCAGGCAGGAGAGTACGGCGAAACCCTCCTGGACGCCTGCCTGGTGAATAGGGGGAGAGTACGGGAGTTTGTTCCTGGACACTCGGTCGACATGGAGAGTTCGGCGAATATTCCTGGACGCCTGTCGACTGAGAGAGGACAGAGCATCTCCTGGACGCCCCAGGTAAAGTACAGGAGAGTACGGGAGAAAACTACTGGTCGCCCGTTCGGAATGGAGAGTTCGGAGAGAATACCTGGACGCCATTCGAACGGGAGAGAACAGAGTTACTCCTGGACGCCTGGTTGACAAAAGGAAAAGATTAGATAGAGAGTAAAAATAGAGAAAGAAAGAAAGAAAGAAAGAAAGAGAGAGAGAGAGAGAGAGAGAGAGAGAGAGAGAGAGAGAGAGAGAGAGAGAGAGAGAGAGAGAGAGAGAGAGAGAGAGAGAGAGAGAGAGAGAGAGAGAGAGAGAGAGAGAGAGAGAGAGAGAGAGAGAGAGAGAGAGAGAGAGAGAGAGAGAGAGAGAGAGAGAGAGAGAGAGAGAGAGAGAGAGAGAGAGAGAGAGAGAGAGAGAGAGAGAGAGAGAGAGAGAGAGAGAGAGAGAGAGAGAGAGAGAGAGAGAGAGAGAGAGAGAGAGAGAGAGAGAGAGAGAGAGAGAGAGAGAGAGAGAGAGAGAGAGAGAGAGAGAGAGAGAGAGAGAGAGAGAGAGAGAGAGAGAGAGAGAGAGAGAGAGAGAGAGAGAGAGAGAGAGAGAGAGAGAGAGAGAGAGAGAGAGAGAGAGAGAGAGAGAGAGAGAGAGAGAGAGAGAGAGAGAGAGAGAGAGAGAGAGAGAGAGAGAGAGAGAGAGAGAGAGAGAGAGAGAGAGAGAGAGAGAGAGAGAGAGAGAGAGAGAGAGAGAGAGAGAGAGAGAGAGAGAGAGAGAGAGAGAGAGAGAGAGAGAGAGAGAGAGAGAGAGAGAGAGAGAGAGAGAGTTATGTAATCGTAGGTTCTTTGCGTGAAAATTTGTAACTCCGTTATTTCCTGTATGCCTCTCCTAATATCTCCGAATAAATATTCCTATTTTCCAGAATTCCTGATTTCCTTTCGATTTCCTTGTGTCCGAATATCCTAACCTGTGAATAAGATGGCTACAACGTTTCAAAACGAATGAGTACCGTAACTGTGAAATGAGATAGAACTGAAATGGAATGTCTCATGTAGTAACTCACTCCAGTGATATAAATCAATTCCTGCGTTCGTTTAATTTTAAAAATGCATAAACAACTTAAATAAAACTTACTCATTGATCCACGAAAAAACAAGCTTCAATGAAAAATTTTTGTGACACCGGGTTCATTCATCGATCATAGCATTAACAACTGATGTCCTGACAGGGCTAATTACCTGTCAATTTATTTCACTGTCTCTTTCTAATAATAATCGCACAACATAAGCACGCCCGGTAAACGGATCGAATGAAAACGTGTGAACAATCATGCACAGACATGTATGTTTAACGATACTCTATATTATCATTATAAGGTATCCGAATTGAGGAACTGATATTACATTACATTTTATTAGAAGGCATTATTAGACTGGCCACGGATCGCGGCTTCGTTCTCGACCGCGAGACTGCGGAGTCGATCGAGCGACTGCGGAGTCAATCGAGAGAGTCATCGTTTATTGTCGAAAAAAAAACCAGGCAGAATAAAATATCGCAGTTTTTAATCGAAAATTTCGCTTTCTTGCTATAAAGACAACGTAGTTAAAATTATTCATGAATTTTCGTTCGCGTGTTTTCATTCGGTCTATTTACGTGTCGGACTCGCAATGACTAATTAGTGAAAACTGACAAGGAAAAATGATAATTAAAGCTAATAATGAAAGATGACAGTGA